TCAGCGCCTCATGGACTCTGTGCTACGAGACATGCCGTTCCTGTTTGTGTACTTGGACGACATTCTTGTGGCCAGCGCGTCCGCAGACGACCACCTGACGCATCTCCGGCAGCTGTTCGGCCGGCTAAGTGAGCATGGTCTCATCATCAATCCGGCCAAGTGCGAGTTTGGCCAGTCGGCCATCACTTTTCTCGGCCACCACGTCACCCCGCAGGGAGCCGTACCCCTCCCTGCCAAGGTGGAGGCCGTCGCCGGTTTCCCACGCCCGCGCACTATGAAGTCCCTGCAGGAGTTCCTGGGCATGGTGAATTTCTACAACCGTTTCCTTCCCCATGCGGCTCAACTCATGCGACCCTTGTATGACGCCTTGCGGGGTCGGAGGCCGGCGGACGTGTTGGATTGGTCCGCAGGGATGGCTGCTGCTTTTGACGCTGCCAAAACCGCGCTGGCCAACGCTGCTCTGCTGGCACATCCGTCTCCTACCGCCCCAGTAGCTCTTACTACAGACGCCTCGGATTACGCGGTGGGGGCTGTGTGTGAACAGTGGGTAGGCGGAGCCTGGCAGCCGCTGGCCTTTTTCAGCAGGAAGCTCCGTGACAACGAGAGGAAATACAGCGCCTTCGACAGGGAGCTCCTGGGTCTCTTCCTCGCCACCCGTCATTTCCGTTTCCTGTTGGAAGGCCGGCGGTTCACGGCTTTCGTTGACCACAAGCCGTTGACGTTCGCCATGGCCAAGTCTTCGGAGCCATGGTCTGGTCGACAGCAGCGCCAGCTTTCTGCTATCTCAGAGTACACCACTGACATCCAGCACGTGGCCGGCAAGGACAATTTCGTCGCCGATTGCCTCTCCCGAGCAGTCACTGGGTCCGTCCACTTGGGCCTCGACTACGCGGCCATGGCTGGGGATCAGGCCGCGGACTCTGAGGTGCAGGCCTACAGGACGGCTCCCACGGCGCTGGTCATGGAAGATGTGGTGTTCGACACAGCCAACGCTACACTCCTCTGTGACATCTCCACTGGCCTGCCGCGCCCCATGGTGCCGGCTGGCTGGAGGCGTAAGGTTTTTGACGCCATACACGGGCTTTCCCACCCGGGGGGGAGAGCCTCTATCAAGCTGGTGGGGGCTAAATTCGTCTGGCCAGGCCTGCGGAAGGACGTCAGGGTCTGGGCTGCGGCCTGTGTGGCGTGCCAGCGTGCGAAAGTGACTCGTCATACCAGGGCCCCTTTGGCACCTTTCAAAGTGCCTGAGAGGCGTTTTGATCATGTGAACGTGGACCTGGTGGGGCCACTTCCCCCCTCCCGTGGTTACACCTACCTACTCACCATGGTGGACAGGACCACCAGGTGGCCAGAAGTGGTTCCCCTGTCCTCCACTACAGCAGCTGAGGTGGCCCGGGCGTTCATTATGGCTTGGGTGGCCCGTTTTGGCACACCGTCCGACCTCTCCTCGGACAGGGGTCCGCAGTTTACATCGGAGCTTTGGACTGCGGTTGCCAAGGTCCTGGGGGTAAAGGTCCACCGTACCACGGCCTATAACCCACAGAACAACGGACTTTGCGAGCGGTTTCATCGTGACATGAAGGCAGCGCTCAGGGCCAGCCTTACGGGCGCCGACTGGGCTGACCGCCTCCCGTGGGTTATGCTTGGCCTTCGCTCCGCCCCCAAGGAAGATCTTCAAGCCTCATCGGCCGAGCTGGTGTACGGCCAGCCGCTGCGCGTCCCGGGGGAGTTTCTTCCGGATGCCACGGCCCCATGGTCGGTTGCCTCCCATCGTGCGGTGTCCCGGGAAGTTGCCGACGCTTTCATTCCTATTCCGACGTCTCGCCATGGCCTCCCCCAGTCCTATGTTCCAAAGGATTTGCCGTCGGCGAAGTACGTCTTCATTCGCCACGATGGCCATCGCGCCCCGCTGCAGCCCCCTTACGATGGGCCCTTCCGTGTCCTGGTGGGGGGGTCTAAGAACTTTGTTGTGGATATGGGGGGTAGGCCTGAGCGGGTAGCTATAGACCGTCTCAAACCTGCTCATGTGGATATTGGCGAACCGCTCCAGCTGGCCCGGCCCCCACGCCACTGCCTCCCGCCCTTCGCCCTTCTCCTGTTAAGCGCAGCCGTTATGGCCGCCTGGTCCGCCCCCCTGTGCGTTGACCTTCTTCGGGACTGTATGGGCTGGACTGTTCTGCATTGGCATGTAGTGTCCTATGTTCTCTGTGGGATACCTGTTGGGTCTTGGCCTGTGGTTATGGGTGAATTCTGGGGGGGCCTGTGTGGTGACCCACAAGTAACGCTGGAGAGACATTCACTAGGGGACTGTCCCTTTAAGGAAAAGTGTTTTGATGTGAGGTTAACGTGCTGTCTGCAGTAGTTCTCACATGTTGTTCTGAGTGTTGAAGTGGAGAGTAAAGTTGACTCGCTGACACGCATCTCCGTCTCCTGTCTCGTCACTTTACACCCTCCACAGCGTATACATTGCAAAACCAGTGACGTTGTGACCGCGTCACGGAAGCTGCGCATGCGCATATCTTACGTCATCTTTTCGACTTTTTAAATCATAATTTCGACTATTGATCTCATAATTTCGACTTTTTAAGTCATAATTTCGACTTACTAATCCTTCTTTTTTTTTGTGGCGGAAATGGGATTCCATATGTTCACACATCCTGCTATCATTGTCTGGAATTTGCTATTTAAATACCCTTGATTCTGTTTACTTGTATAATACTGTAAATGTCAGCATATACGTGCACTAAAACTCAAGCGTCTGCTGAGTTGACCGCAGTAAGTGTAACCTGTAACCTCCTCATACTGGCTTCTGTCTCGAAACATTACAGGTTCCAAAAGCCTCAGTAATGTGACGAAATGTGACAATGGCATTGCTGTTACTATGAGATAGAAGGAGTAAATAATTGTATTTGGCTTATTTGGCATCAAAACAGACTTGACCGGATGCTCAGAAGCGCGGCGGAGAGCGTAGGAGGAAGAGTGAGAAAAAGAGTGAACAGTGTTTCAACTGTCTGTATCTAAGAAACCACACGGTAGCTCCATCACGGCTACGTTGGCGCCTGACCAGGGACTGATATGGATGCGGACAGGACGATGCAGTAAGATCATTCCACCAGGTGGAATTCTGCCTGGGAGATGATCAAATGATTATAAACAACAGTATATGAAAGACACCCTTTCTACTCGGCCATTTATACAGTTTTGTTTTTCGAAGAAAAAGTAACTTTTGATTGCAGGTAATTTAGATCAAAACTTTAGTCCAGATTCATGGTTTATGGCAATCCAGTGTTAATTTTGGCAGCTATTTTTGATTTAGTCTTAGTCTTTAGACAAAAAATGCATATTAGTTTAAGTAACGTTTAGTCATTTTAATCCTTCTTAGTTTTAGTCTAGTTTTCGTGGACGAAAACTCAGGACATTTTAGTCTAGTTTTAGTCACATTTAATAGCCATATTAAACTCCTTTCCTTTTCTTCCCTTCTCTGGCCCAGGGACCCCCTGTGTTGTGTCTATAACTGCATAATAGTCTAGCTTGCAGTACTTGGTTGTCCATTAGATGTCCCTCCTAGGACAGGTCTATAGCAGGTCGGCAAACTTTTTGACTCGCGGGCCACAATGGGTTGTAAAATGTGACGGAGGAGCCGGGCCAAGAACAAATGGTGGAAGTGTTTGTGCGAGCAAATATAAATGACATGTGAAAAATCATTACATGAAAGGATTTGGATTTTAACAAATAGCAAAGCATTTATTTGCAAGGCAATTTAACAATTTGGAAAGGGTGTAACAACTTCATGAGGACAGGGGATCTAAACGCAACACTAGGTTGTCTTTGTCTGTTTACTTGCAATGCTTTTGACACGGCCACTGGAAACTTCATGGTCCTTTAATGTTTCCACTGTCCCAACAAGAGAGACCTTAACGTCCTACAATCGGTGCAATACATTATTTTCTTGGCTTCAGAACCTGCAATGGGTTTATTATGTTAGACGTGTTTGGAGAAGCCTGTAACGGAGCGTCTCATCCAGCCGAGGAAACGCTGCCTGCCGTCGCCAGAGAACAGAGCAGAAAGGTCCGATAGTCTGTTAAACGGGTCTTCATGTTTCTCTGAAGCAGCGCGGCTTCAGCCTGCTAACAGTCAGCTAAACCGAGAAAGCTGAGCTAAACTAAGGAAGCGCATATTCAAACTCGCCGAAGCGTAAAATAGTCGTTGCGTTCCGTAGTCGGTGCACAAGAACCACTGCTGCACCGATGCGAGGGTTCCGGGTTCGTGGATGACGTCATCATGACGCGTTAATATCCGCCGTACTTTGCCTGTCTGTTAGCTGCGTGCGAATTTAGGGGGAAAAGTATCGTGACTTCGTCAACCACCAACATGTTCGTCTCGTCTCGTTAACGAAAGTTAGAACAGATTTACTAATAGTTTAAGTTTAAGTTTAAGATCGTTTCGTCACGTCTTAGTCTCGTCTTAGTCATGGAAAAAAGCTTCGTTAACAAACATTTTTCGTCATAGTTTTCGGCGATGAAATTAACACTGCGGCAATGTCAGTCAAACAGGGAGAGATTCCTGCTGTTACCGGTGTCTCCGATTGGGGGAAAGATTAGTTGAGTGTCATCAGCATAGCTGTTGTAGGAGAAGCAATGTGAGGGAATAATAGAGCCGAGAGAGTTGGCGTACAGAGAGAAGAGGCGGAGACCCAGGACAGAGTCTTGGGGGACCCCAGTGGTGAGAGGACAAGGTTCAGACACATACTGTATTATATCTAAGGTACCCTGTGGTCGTTGAGGAAGGTTGAGAGAAGGGAGAGAGCAGAGCCTGAAACACCAAGTTGCTGAAGGGAGAAAATAATACTAAAGTTTGGGGAGGGCCGTGGCCTGTAGTTAACTTCAGATTGGAGCTGGGTTTCTTCAGGAAAACCATAGAGAAGGAGGGATTTGGAGGAAGAAAGGAGCTTCATCAATTGCATTACGCATGCAGCAGCATCGTGTCTCCTCTCTCTGAGAATGAAAAGTCTGGAAAAAGATGAACTTTGCTTTCCTCATCTCCTCAACACCTCCTGCAGGAAGGCTATGCGTCCTCACTTTGCATCTATGCTCACTTACATTTTATTATCCTCCATCTCTCTGCTCACTGTGACTCTCAACCTGCTGGTCATCATCTCCATCCACCACTTCAAGTATTCTGATATTTTATCAATTTATTAGGCGGGTGATAGTACAATTTCTTCCACCATTCCGTCCTAAGACTTGAATGAAAACATGTTATTGTGTGTTAATAATTGCTTTTATCTCTTGATATGACAATTGCTGCTCCCAATAATGACAATCTTGTTGTCTTCTTATCTCCTAAGGCAGCTCCACACCCCCACCAACCTCCTCCTGCTCTCTCTGGCCGTATCAGACTTCTTCGTCGGCCTCCTCATGGTCTTTCAAATAATGCTTATAGATGGCTGCTGGTTTCTAGGTGACCTCATGTGTACGCTTTATATTGTTTTGGACTATATTGTTGTTTCTTCCTCAGTAGGAACCATGGTTCTCATATCAGTTGACCGATATGTGGCTATTTGTGAGCCTCTTCATTATACCAACAAAGTCACACAAAAAAGAGTTAAGATCTGTGTTTGTCTGTGTTGGACATGTTCTGCTTTCGTTCTGATTCTGATGCTACAAGATCACCTGAAAAGAACAGACGATATTTCCTGCATTGGAGAGTGTGTCATTGTAGTTAGCTACGTTGCTGAACTTGCACAGTTTTTTTTGATTTTTATTGGTCCCGTCACTGTCATCATAGTTTTGTACATGAGAGTCTTTGTGGTGGCTGTGACTCAGGCTCGTGCCATGAGGCCTCATGTTGCAGCTTTACCTCTCAAGTTTTCAATGACCATAACGGCTAAAAAATCTGAAATGAAAGCTGCCAGGACTCTTGGTGTAGTTATTGTCGTCTTTCTATTGTGCGTCTGCCCATATTATTGTTTCGCCCTCTCAGGCCAGGACAACTTGGTCAATTTCTCGTCTGTTAACATTCTAATATGTGTGTTTTATTTCAACTCGTGTCTCAACCCTCTGATCTATGCCTTTTTTTACCCCTGGTTTAGAAAATCTATAAAGCTCATTGTTACTCTTAAGATACTGCAGCCCGGCTCATGTGAGAGAAACCTCCTGTAGAGACACTGCATGGTGAGAGGAAATAGACAAGGAAATGTACTTACTATGAAATGTCATAGTGATGAGAATTCATTAACAGATGTAGAAGCCTTGGTCCAGTGAACTTTGTTCTAAAACTTGTACATGCAGATCATATTTTTGTCTTTACATTGTTAACACATAAATTAAAAAGTGAAACAACACAGAAAACTTATACCTAAGTTACTCTAGGGTAACTGTTGCCTGACAGGTGTGAGACTAACATATAATGAAGAAGTAGAAGGAGTTTTTGACTAATATAGAAACAAAGTTTTCTTTAAAGGCACCGTGTGACTCTGCAGCTTAAGTCTTTCAGAGGTGATGCAAATCACTCTTAAAGCATTGCTTAAAGGGGCCTTTCAATAATGGTGCTAAAGCATTATTGAGTTAGTTGATTATTCTTGATTATCTGAAACAGGTTATAAAAACCGTGTTCGTGATCTAAACTATTATTATTAAAATGACATCCGCTTTCTCAGTTCAAAGCAAGACAAAACATTTTTATTCAATAATAAATAATTATGCTTGGTGTATATTTTATTAAATTGAGACTATAGTTTTCACTGTACGACCAAAATAATATCTATGTATATATATATATATATATTGTGATGTCTTGAGAGATTGGGATCGGCCTGTGAGGCGTGGGTGTAAAATCAAGAAAAATCAATGTCAAAATCCGAGAGCGCAGATGAGCAAAAAAAGTTTCTAGAGAAAAAGTCTATTAATTGTTTGTGTTGACATCATGATTCCGAAAAAAAGACAATAAAAGTCTACCCAACAACAAAAAATGCTTACGTGTTGTAGATTGACTGGCTAAAGCCAATTATCTTAATGGTTTTTACAGGCGATTTGAAAAATATGACTTCTCTGCTGAATGCAACATTTAGCTTTATGACATTACAAATCAATGTTACCAAAGGCCACAGGTCCAGATGGTATCTCTGCTTTTTTATTTTAAAACATGTGCAGATGAATTGACACCTGCCTGGTGCCCGTTTTTCCAGAGGTCCCCAGACTGTACTGTACTGTACCAACACAATGGAAAAAGACAATCATCACACATGTCCCTAAGAAACCCTGTCCACAGGAGAACAATAACTTTAGATCTATTGTTCTAACCTCTGTTGTGAAGTGTATGGAGAAGCTCATAGTGAGCAAACTGCGTCTGCATGTAGGCCCACAGTTTGCATGCACACAGCAGAGAGGCACTGATGATGCAACCAACAGTATGCACGTAGTGACTAAACACTTAGACTGTTGTTTGTAGATTTCAGCTCAGCCTTTTCCTGAAAACACTGCAGATGATGAATGTTAACTGATACCCTTACTAAGTGGTATCACTCATTCCTTTACGAACGTACTGAGAATGTCAGGGTGAACAGGACCTTGTCTCAATCCTTGACCATCAACACCAGTGCCCCCCAAGGGTGCGTCAGTTCACCAGTCCTGTTTGCACAGTACACTAATGAATGTACATGAAGTACTGCTAACAATAATATTGTAAAGGTTTGTGATGATACAGCCAAGTTGAGAGCGATTGTGAGGCAACGCAAAATATTCGCTCCCCGTTTGGTGTGAATGCAGCATACAGTACCTGGGCATACACATCGACAACAAATGGACATGGAGTGTTCAGGTAGAGATGTCTGCTCTAGGGTCCAAGAGCGGCTACACTTTCTGCGTAGATTGAAGGTCTTTGCTGTCAACTAGAAAATGGTGCTCCTCTTGGTTGACAGCATCCTGCGGTTTGGCATCTGAGCCTGGTTTGGTAACCTCGGAGTAGAGCTGAAAGCCCAGATCTCCCGGATAACACAATGAAATTCATGGAGGACAGCGCTTATTGGATACCGCTGTAGCCTCATTTAAAGAAGCCATTCCTTCTGCTCTAAGTTCAGTGCCCTGCCTCAAGATACAAGAAGACTCCTGTGAGAACCTCAGTCCGTCCCAGATCGATAATTTTGTCGATACTGCTACAGGCTCTTTGAGAGTGGCGCTGGACGCTATTGCTCCTCTGGAAAGAAGAATAGCAACAAGAAGAAAGTCTGCTCCGTGGTATAACCCTCAAACACAGAACCTAAAGCAAACTGTGCGGAAACTTGAACGCTTATGGCGTTCCACCAAATCAGAAGGATCTAGCCTAGTTTGGCAAGACAGCCTTAAAACATATAAGAAGGCTCTCCGTAACGCAGGACTCATCATTAATAGAGAAAAATAAAAACAACTCCAGGTTTCTCTTCAGCACTGTAGCCAGACTGACAGAGAGTCACAGCTCTGTCGAGCCGTGTATTCCTTTGGACCTCACTAGTAATGACTTCATGAACTTCTTCAATGATAAGATTCGGACTATCAAAGAGAAAATTGATGGTCTGCTGCCTTCAACCAGTGCCGACCTGTCCTCCGATATAGGAACCTTGGATGCAGCAGTGGGCCCTGATGCCTGTTTCGATGCCTTCTCTTCCATCAACCTTGATCAACTGACTTCTTTATTTTCAAAGTCTAAATCTTCTACTTGTCTCTTGGATCCGATTCCGACAAAGCAGCTTAAGGAAGTTTGTCCTTTAGTTAGCACATCCTTATTAGATATTATGAATCTGTCTGTGTTGACAGGGCATGTACCACAGTCCTTCAAGGTAGCTGTAATTTAACCTCTTCTTAAGAAACCTACTCTTGCTCCAGAGGTGTTGGCTGACTACAGACCTATCTATAATCTTCCCTTCCTCTCTAAGATCCTTAAGAAATCGGTCGCAAATCAATTATGTGACTTTCAACAAAACAATGCTTTGTTCGAGGATTTCCAGTCAGGATTTCGAGCGCATCACAGTACAGAAACAGCACTAGTGAAAATTACGAATGATCTTCTACTTGCATCGGACCAAGGATTCATCTCTTTTCTTGTCTTTCTGGACCTCAGTGCCGCATTTGATACCATAGACCATTGTATCCTGTTGCAGAGACTAGAACATTTAATTGGTATCAAAGGAACTGCACTCAGCTGGTTTAAATCCTACTTATCGGAATGATCCCAGTTTGTGCTTGTAAACGGTGAAGCCTCAAAGACCACCAATGTTGGTCACGGAGTCCCACAAGGTTCTGTACTTGGACCGATTTTATTTACCCTCTATATGCTTCCTTTGGGCGATCTTATCAGAAAACACCGCATAAACTTCCATTGTTATGCAGACAATACTCAACTGTATCTGTCGATCAAGCCAGAAGAGACGGACCAGCTAGTTAGACTTCAAGAATGTCTTGGAGACATCAAAACTTGGATGACCGGCAACTTCCTGATGCTAAACTCAGAAAAAACGGAAGTTATCCTGATAGGCCCAGAGCGCCTTCGAAGCCAGCTGTCACGTGATACAGTTTTTATGGATGGAATTGCTCTGGTACTCAGGAATCTGGGAGTTCTCTTCGACCAGAATATGACCTTCAACTCGCAAATAAAGAAGACTTCAAGGACTGCCTATTTTCATCTACGTAACATATCAAAAATAAGGAACTTCCTGTCTCAAAGTGATGCAGAAAAATTAGTTCATGCGTTTGTCACTTCCAGACTGGACTACTGTAATTCTCTGTTATCAGGCTGCTCTTAAGCCTCTCCAGTTGATTCAGAATGCTGCAGCACGTGTATTAACAAGAACTAAGAAAAGGGATCATATCACTCCTGTATTAACTTCTCTGCACTGGCTCCCTGTTAAATCAAGAATAGATTTTAAGGTACTTCTCCTCACCTACAAGGAACTTGCTGGTGAGGCACCGTTGTATCTTAAAGAGCTTGTAACACCTTATTGCCCTACAAGGCAGCTGCGCTCCATAGATGCTGGGTTACTTGTTGTTCCTATGGTTTTAAAAAGTAGGCTGGGGGCCAGAGCCTTCAGTTATCAAGCTCCTCTTTTGTGGAACCCGGTTCCACTTTCAGTCCGGGGGGCAGATTCGGTCAGCTCTTTTAAAGTAAAACTTAAAACTTTCCTCTTTGATTCTGCCTATAGTTAGGGCTGGCTCAGGTTAGCCCGGACCAGCCCTTAGTTAAGCTGCTATAGGCTTAGAATGCTGGGGTAATTTTTAGGACACACTGAGCTCCTCTCTCACGCTCTCGTTCTACCATAATTCACGTTTTATTAATGCACATGACTAATTCAGCTTCTTTCCGGGAGTTTTTTTTGTGCTTTCTCCCCTAGCAGGTCTCCGTAGATCGTGGTTCCATCGGGACCCTGGTCCTGACACCTACCGTGGCCCTGCTAACGCCTGCTGTGGCCATCATCATTATTATTTTAGATATTAATCATATTACTGTACTCGTAAACCAACATTACCCTCTCCTTAAGTCTCTGTGCTCTCCCTCCCCACATGCTTCTGTGGAAGGTGGTTCTATCTGATGGTGGTTGCCCCTGCAGTGGTCCTGCTGTGCGCCTGGCTTACTACTCACAGTTACTTGAATCATTTCTGTCATAGGAATTGCATGTATTATATATTGTTCATTCGGTACACATGGCATCCATTGTAGTTTGTCCATCCCGGGAGTGGGATCCCTCCTCTGACGTTCTCCCTTACGGTTTCTTCCCTTTTTTCCCTCTTAGAAGGGTTTTTTCATTTTTGGGGGAGTTTTTCCTGTGCCGATGGTGGGTTTCGGGACAGAGGATGTTGTATGTGTACAGACTGTAAAGCCCTCTGAGGCAAATTTGTAATTTGCGATTATGGGCTATACAAAATAAAACGAATTGAATTGAATGCACACTGGAGGTAAACAAAGTTGCGTAAACTGCGTTAAAATATTTCATTGCGTTAATCTCGGCCACAATGAATAATGTGTTGACTTTGACAGCCCTAATTTCTACTAATGATCTGCCTCTGGTAATTGAGAAGGCCAACATGGTAATGACACATGAATATTGACAAAAAGTATTGAGTTTGGCCCTCAGATTTTGTTTAGTGGCGAGCCACAGCGTTGAATGAAGAAGTTGTGGAAGAAAGGCATGGCG